TTTTTTTTTTTTTTTTTTTTTTTTTTTTTTTTTTTTTTTTTTTGTTGTTGTTGTTGTTGTTGTTGTTGTTGTTGTTGTTGTTGTTGTTGTTGTTGAAAGTTATCGTTTTGCAACAGGAAGGTTGTGCAGCCCGCGCGGCTGAACGGTACTGATTTTTTATTGTTGACGAACAGATAAATGAATTCGAATCCTGATGGAATCAGATGAATGCAGTAATGTTAGGGGTTACCCCCTTCATACCACTGGTACCTGCGTATCACCACATACGCATGCGCGGCATGCACGCATACGTACTTCGCCGTACGCGTGGGGTCGGCTTAATCTTCTTTCTGTGTATTGTCCCAGTGTTAAACCGCAAGTACACGGCCCCAGCCTTGCAGAAAGTTTTTGTTGCCACAAGCAAAACTCGAAGGGGCTGCGCGGCGTGGGGCGCCGTTGAAAAAAAAAATGGCGGCCTCCGAAGTGGTGCGGGTTTCATGCTGACACCCGCGGGCCGATTTGTGGTGTGCTGGTGCTTTAACGGCTGTGATGTGCCGAAGGACTGGTCATCAGCGTTTCCAGTGTTCTGAATTTCTCTTCGTCAAGGAGACGGTTCATTGAAGTTAATTGAACTTCATTCCCATGAAATGAAGACGAAAAAAAGAAGATGACGACGATGAAGCAGGCTTTTCAAACCGGTGCAGAATGTTGTGTGCGGCTTTACCAAGAGCAGCTCTGTTTCATTCATTCTAGGCTGCTGCTGCCACTGCCGCTGCTGCTGCCGCTGCCTCTGCCTCTGCCTCTGCCACTGCCGCTGCTGCCAGTGCGTCGACTTTGTTTGCCTTGAACACTTCCACGCCTTTTCACGCTGACAATTGGTTATCGCATGCATGTAATGCATGTACCGTTTGCTGAAGAGCACAGCACAAGTGTGAACGGTGCTAAGTTCTGTTAGATGATATGCAGCAACGTTGCGAATCTGAAGGTCTTCCACCGACAGGTGGGTGAGTAATTGATTTTCGTTCATGGAAGACTAGGAGGGGATGGTTGATTGTCCATCTCGATATCAACGGTGCAAAATGTGTGTCTGTGTACAGGGAGCTGGGGGAGCAGATGGTTTCCAGTGGCCTGATTGGCTCCGCATTGAGAATATTTGAGGAAATGGAGCTGTGGGACAGCCTCATTAACTGCTACAGGTAAGGAGAACTGGAACTGAGGACTCACCTAAGGTCCAATGATTGATGCATGGTTACTACTTAATGATTCCTGTTTTAGATTGGTGAGGTTAACAACTGGACACTGAATTTTTTCAATGAGAGGGATGTGCACTTCTCTGGGGTAATTGTTGTTCGGAAGATTGGAAGGTTAAGAAAATCTGTGTTGTCTCGCTTTGCTTTGCTCTACCAAAGTTTGCCAGACCTCATAACAGCTGCTGAGGTATCAATCCATGTCTTTCATTTGTTTTCTTCTGAAAATAAGGCGCTGCAATCTTGAGCAGGTAGAAGCACCACTGCTAACTCTTATCCCTTACCTGCTCCTCTAGCCCTCACTCTTTTCCTCTTATGTGTGTGTGTGTGTGTGTGTGTTGTGTGTGTGTGTGTGTCTTCGCTTTCTCTTCCCGATCTCTTTCCGATCTTTTTCCACTCTTTCTTCTCTCTCCTCTCTCTCCTCTCTACCTCACCGTTTGCTGGTGCCCTTTATGTTATGAAGCCTCGCGTGTAGCCTCGCGTGTTGGTTGATTGAAGTGGACCAAGCATGACCAGGTCTTAGGAGAAAAGCACGATTTTTGAAAGTGCAGATGCTTGAGAGGGCCGATTATCACCTCGCAGCTCCACGCATACAATTCAACTTCTGCCTCCCATGGAGTTGACCACGTCCTGGTTTGCCTCTGGTCACACACAGTTCAATCAATAGAAGGGTTGTTTTGCGAGCCCTGCCAGCTCTGACCAACACAGCTACTGCAGCTTCAGGTTATTTGTGAAAGGTGGACCTGCCTTTGTACGACAGGAGCCAAGTCGGAAGGCCATAGTACAGATCAGGAATTCTTTAATGTCACAATCAGCATAACATGGCCAGTCCGACAGAGGTTATCTATGTCCATCGACTACCTGATCTTTGAGCTAAACTTCAACTCAACGACCAGTAGCCCAAAATCACAAACAATAGACCAGAAAAGACTCCAATGTCAAACGCAGAAAGCACGGCATATGCACGGCTACTATTGTCGATGCACTTCAGTCCTAGCTGACCTCTTGCTCTAGGATTTGCAGTTGAGGGTCTCAGGTCATGGTATGCGGGGTTGACGGGAGCGGTGCGGAAATGGCGAGGGAGGAGAATCATCTGCGATTCAGAGGGTGAGAGAGGAGAAGGGGTGGTGCGAGGGAGAAAAATCACCTGCAGCCAGGCTCTTTGGGAAATGACAGAAATTGGATTACCGAGTTGTCGCCATGCCCTGGGTCTGTTTTTCATTTCAAATTCACCCAGTGAATGAGTGTTGTGCTTGTCGCTCCTTTGCTGCTCCAATGCCTTCCTCCCCTTCCCTCTCCTCTATCCTCGCTCCCTCCTTCGACGTCCTCTCCCTCGTCTTGCCTTGCTCTTCCCTGCTCTTCTCATCGGTCCTTTCGTCCGCTTCCCGTTCTCTTACCCTTCTTTCGCATGTGTGCCGTTTTCTCTTTCCCGTCCCCTTTTTCTTTCTTTTGAATTTTGTTTTTGAAATTTTGATTTTCGATTAAATACTGAAGTTTTTCTGCCGACGGAAATCCTGTCATCTTAGGCTGCTTGGGAAAACAGCACAGGGGACGGCATTGGTGACTGAGCGACTCAAGGTTACACCTGACGATCCACGCCTCTGGTAAGCTCCGCTGCGTACCATTGTACTTGTGTGTGATTCTTTCAGCGCATGTTTGTGAATCTTTTGGTAGATGCAGTGCATGTTCATTGTATTTTCTTCTAAGTGCATGTTCATTGTGTTTTGCGAAGCAAGCCCGAGACTCGAGAATCCACACGGAAGTTTCCTCTACCACATTGCCTAAAATGGACTACATGGTTCTCTTTAAGTTTTTGCTTTGATTGCAATGTCAAGTCAATCTGTTCCGAAAATCTAGGATTCAATCATTTGAATTAATTTCATCTCGGAGATCCAGTGTTGTTGAAATTTAGCGTCTTTGTAAAGCAACATCGTTTTCCTTGGCATACTGCTTTTGGCTGGCACCACCATCCATTTCGATCCGGTACCCGAACCCCAAAAAAATGCCGACGTAAACGAGCCGCGACTTTTCGAGCGGGGAAAGGTGCTGATGGTTTGACAAACAAGAAGGATGTAGAAAAAAAAACCTCAGGGGCTTGATGGGTAATATGGAGCCTGCACTATGGGTGTTTGGAGGGCGAGGGCCGGGGGATGGGTGGGGCCGGGGGGGCAGGGGGGGAGAGGTAGGTTGGAGTATCTTCATTTGATTTGCCGCGCCACTCACGGACTTTAGAGTCAGCACTATTGAATATATCAGGGATCAAATCATCAAAGTGTGCTCTTTTAGTTTATACCATATAGGTATGGGACAATGTATCAGGGATCCGTTTCGTGTGAGGTGGCATTGGCTTAATTGTGTGGACTAATGAATTTCTGTAACTGGCTGAAATTTTGAAGGTGTTCCTTGGGAGATCTTACTCATGACGATGATGCATATCGGACTGCATGGAGAGTTTCAGGGCAACGTTATGTGCGGGCACAGGTAATGCTATCATCAGCTGGAATTAAAGGTCAACAAGTTGGTCTCTCATTCCTCAAGGACATCATTTGTGTCTTGTCATTCGCCGGTAGTCATTGTTTTTGGAATACAAGTTGAAAGCAGTCTGGTATGCCCCTTGATGAAAGGTCAGGTGTTGTAGTGTTGGATCGGTCTATTTTGTGTCTACTATATTTGCTCGAGATTTGGCACTGTCAAAATCTTTGCTGGTGAATGATTCAGAAGTCACCAATTTGTCTGGCCCTCCACCTCTCTCCACTTCCCTCCCCCTCTCTCTCCCCCTCTCTCCTGGTCTCCTCTCCCCTTCTCTATTTCCCTCTCTCCCTCTTGCCCTCTTTCTCTCTTTCTCTCTTTCTCTCTTTCTCTCTTTCTCTCTTTCTGTCTTCCTCTCTTCTCCCTCTCCCCCCTCTCCCTCCTCTCTCCCCTCTCCCCCCTCTCCC